GTAGGTTGTCCAAGGGTGGTAGGTGGTAGGCAGCTCTGCTTTATGAGTTTTTACAGGACCCAGATACCTTCCATCTTCTTCATCTACCATCTAGAGTCAAAGATGACTCACTACCACCATGTCCAACTTCCAATTTGACGGAAAGTGGAAAGGGGAAAGTTGAACCAACAGTACCCTCACAAAGGCATGGCCTGAAAGCTGTTGATGATCATTTCTCTTTGCATCACACTGGCAGGTAATTGGCTACTTGGCCATATCTAGCTGCAGTAAAGCCTGGGAACAGCAGTCTGTAGTTGGACAAGGTGTGTTTAGCTAGAGTTTGGGGCATCATTGCCAGGGAATAGAAGGGGAGAATGAATAGTGGTGAACAGTCAGTCAACTGTCATAGATGTTTATCTCTATCATTTGATCCTCTCAACAACCTTGTGAGAAGGCAGGCACAAATTATTCACCATCCTCGGTTTTGCAGATGAGAAAATTGAGGTGGAAAGATTAAGGGACTCCGTCACTGTGATACAATGAAGCCACATGGCATAGCGGGACAACTGCAAAAAGCGTGGTCAGGAGGTGCCCTGGCTGAGCACAGTATTAACCACTGAGTCTTCTAAAACTTATTCCTTGGCCTAGAAACAGAAGTTCCCAGTGCTTGTAGCTTTTTTCAAGAAAAAACTTCCTGGTAATCATTGGTTAGAGGTCTGAGGAGCACAGATCCAAGGACATTTTGAACACGGCCCCATAACCATCTCTTTGCCTCCTCCAGTCCGAGCACAGACAATGAGCAGAGAGGAGGACAATGTGGATGAATGGAAAGAACATTGGATTGGGGTCAGGAGACTGGGTTCTGGTCTTGTTCCATGACCAATGGAGTGACCTTTAACTCACATCAATCACAGGGCTGTGAAGTGACGTCCACTGAGCTTGACACTGCATGTCTTCTCATTTACTCTTACAACAACGTTGTGAAGTAGATGTTACTCTGTGTATTTTACAGAAGACAAAACTGAGGCTGAAAGAGCTAAGGGGCCCAAAGTTATATAGCTTGTGAGAGGTAGGGCCGGAATTCTAACCTAGACCTTCTGATCGCTAACCCCAAGCACTTCTACAAAGTCATATTGTTCTATATGCCAAGTAACTGCTGGGTGAGCTGGAACTAAAATGGGATGTCACCTGTCACACGGATGGCCCATAACACAGCTATCTGGGACCCAGGTACTTAAGTAGTATACTTTGTGACTCTGCTTTTTTTGTGTGTGTGTGAAGGAAACCGCTATATCAGAGGTTGGACACCATAATCTGTCCTTACCTACACATTCTGCTTGATCGGCCTTCTCTGGGTTTTGCTTTCTTCTTTGTTAATTTTCTTCTCTTTTCAAAATTACTGAAGGAATGCATGCTCATAAAATTCAAACAACATAGAAGAGTCAGAGATAAATTAGGATACTTCCTTAGCTTCTCTAAGTCCTTTCCAGGCCCTTTCCAGAGGAGACCACCTTCAGCAGTCTGGTAAGTACCTTCAGATGTCTCTTGTCTATGCATTTATTTTTGTCTAGATTTTTTAAAAGTAAAACTGGGAACGTGTATGCTGTTTTTCAAGTCACTTTTTCCACTTCACGATACCTTGTATGTATCTTTCTATACCAGCATATTAAAACTGATCTCATTCTTGCTGGTGGATGATGTGTGTTGCACTAGATATACATCTGACTTCAGGTCCTGCTCACAGTTTGGTATTTTACGATGTGCTGTTAATGGTGTGGACTTTGGACCCATTCAACCTCTGCCCTGAATCCTGGATCCATCACTTATTAGCTGCGTGATCCCAGGAAACTGACTTAATGGCTCTGTGCCTCAGTTTTTTCACCTGTGAAATGGGGTTAATGTCGGTAACCTGCCTCCTAGGACGCTGGGAAGACTAAATGAGTTAATGCATGTAACACATTTAGAACAGAGCCTGCAACAAATGCTATATGAATGCTAGATGAGGTTTAACTATTCTTGTCACACCTGGACACTATTTCATGATATATCTAGTCTATTACTTGACATAAAAGTTGTTTGTGATTTTTTTTTTTTTTTGCTAAAACAAACACTGTTGTGATAATATACATTTACATATACCTTTGTGCACATGTGGGAGTGTTTCTGTAGAATAAACTTCTGGGAATAGCATTAATGGGCCTAAAGGTGTGGGGATTTTCGGTGGTAGTGGTAGTATTGGTGGGCTCTGCTTGACCATGCTTTTCTTGGTTCACTCACATCAGCTCATCCGGTAGCAGCTGTTGGGCATCCTGCCATGTCCCATATCTGTCACATGGCCAGTGGTTGGCAGAGCTATATGGCAGTAAGCATTCTGCTTTGTCTTCCCAGGGCCTGGCCCTTCATCAGCGTTCATTAGACTGGATGGCTTGGCTTCCTGGTGATCCTGACTGAGATTCTGAATTAATACTTTACGTAAAGCATGGTGCCCAGAGGACAGATGCCCGGGGCCAGGCATCTTGATCAGACCCACATGCCCAGTGTAAGGCTGAGGATGAGATTGAGGGACTTCTCTTCCTGGGCCATGAGAGGCCTGGTTTCAAAGGCAGGAGTTTCCCGGCTCCACTCCTCCATCGGGAACCAGAGGGGTTTCAAATGTAAAGTTCTTTGGGTTTCCTCGTGCGTGCGGGCTAGGTAGGGAAAGCCGGGTGAAGCTCCTTTGTCCCCAAAAACCCTCTGAAATCTCTGGGAGGAGGGGGCTCTGTAACTGAGAGTTGTGAACCAAGTAGCCAATCCAGTACTGTATCAGAGTCAAAGATCAATCACTCCGGAGGACGTTTGAAAGAACTCCTCTCATTGGACGAGAACATGAACGGGAAGGGACTAACTCAAGGGTTTTAAAACTCCAGCTGCTCCTTACCTATACGGATTCCTTTTCTGGGTCCCCTCCCACAACAGCATGGGAGCTGTCTTTCTCTCTCTCTCTCTAATAAATCACTTTTCCGTTGGGAGGCTGAGGCGGGTGGATCACGAGGTCAAGAGATCGAGACCATCCTGGTCAACATGGTGAAACCCCGTCTCTACTAAAAATACAAAACATTAGCTGGGCATGGTGGCGCGTGCCTGTAATCCCAGCTACTCAGGAGGCTGGGGCAGGAGAATTGCCTGAACCCAGGAGGCGGAGGTTGCGGTGAGCCGAGATTGCGCCATTGCACTCCAGCCTGGGTAACGAGAGCGAAACTCCGTCCCCCCCACCCAAAAAAAAAAAAAAAAACAAACAAAAATAAATCACTTTTCCGCAAAACTCTTTGGGTCCAACTGATATTTATTCCAATGGCAAACTCACTACCCCTCCTGGGTGCTTTCCCCCATTCTTCGGGGTTACCGAGGCTAAGAACCTCTTCCGAACTGGGAGCTGGATAAGCTCCCCTGTTACAAGATGGCACAGGTGGTCAAGAGAATCAACATGGTTTCACCCTTGAATCAGTCCAGGTTCACTATGGGCTTCATGACATGGCACTTTTTAACTTGGTGATCATGTCTTTGCTGAGTGATATGGGGTAGGCGTGGATGTGATGATTCACACCATGCAGGGATCAAAGGCACCTTCGAAAAGCAGGAAGTGAAATAAAGCAGCGCTGTGTATTGCTGCTGTGACATTTCTCTGGATCTTATTAACACAGGAGGGGCTAAGCTATAAATGTGCTAATCTCACTTGGGGAATTTGGGGTTGGTTGGTTATTTATCCAAGCCATGAACATTTATTGAGCAGTTATTTTGTGTCAGACACGGTTATTGATGCTGGGGTGTATGAAACTGTGGACTAATATGTAATTTCAACCTTTGAAAACTCCACAGAATCCTTAAGAACTCTTGAAGAGACTTAATTTTTCAAGGACAATGGGAGAGAAGATATAATACTACAGGTGGCGCCTGAGCTCCACCCTGGATGAATCTGGGGGATGGGTATGCATGGGATTATTGGGGTCCCTTCACACAGAAATGCTCACTGGAGAGGCTTTCCTGTACAAATATTAGAAATTTTAAATTACATGTTAATTTCTTTTTCTGTGCTTAGAAAAGACGCAGGATATATGATTTAGAAAAATGTAAAGGAAATTAAAGATCACCTGTAACTCTCTCATCCCGATGCAACCATTATGGAATGTAAGTGTATTTACTTCTTTATAGTGTTTATATGTAGGTATATTTTAAAAGCAAAATTAGGAATCCTACTTCATATTCTGCTTTGTGACTTGCTTTGTCTCTCAAATCACATTAGGAGCATTCCACAAATCTTTGAATATATTTGAATATTCCTTGATTACATGATATGTAATGGATTATGGTGTTCTGTTATATATTATAATTGGGTTAGTCAATTAATGATTTGTAAGGGCACACTGGCTAATTATTGTCATCTTTTCTCCTATGCCTCCTGGTTTTGGCATTTATTATTTTGTAAAGATGCAGAAGAAATCTTGAGTTCTGAGCATTTATCCCCAACCTTTGTGAACACCACTCTCAGGCAAACAAAGCAACACGGGCCAGGCGTGGTGGCACACACCTGTAGTCCCAGCTACTCAGGTGGCTGAAGCAAGAGAATCGCTTGAACCCTGGAGGCAGAGGTTGCAGTGGGCTGAGATCGTGCCACTGCACTCCAGCCTGGGCGACAAGAGCAAGACTCCGTCCCAAAAAAAAAAAAAACCCAAAACAAAAAACACCCCCCCAAAAACAAACCCCCACGACATGATTCTATGCTCATTTTAGAATCCCACACCTGACCACCATGCAAAAATTCCTCTGGATAACTTCATTTGGGTCTTCCTCTGGTGGAACTGGAAGATTGTGTTCCAAACTCCATTCCTTTTCCGTGTGCGTTGTCCACTCACCGAGACCCCCTTCTCTTTCTTCTCTTTCATTTTTAGGCACCTTGGCTGCAGCTGACTCCAGAAACATTTTTCCTCTTTAAGTCTCGACTCCACAGATTGCCTCTTCTTCTCATCATTTCTCATTTCTCACCATGAAAGTCTCTCCTTTCTCTCTTTATGACTTCTTGAAACCTGAAAATAGAGGTAATTTAAATTGGGTAATTATGATGACAACAAAACCACTTTTGTGAAATGCAGAGTTTAAAATGCCAGAGTTTCCTACTGTTGAGCTCTCTCTGCCTTCATTCTGTGGATACTGCTGCGGGAGCTTATCTGCGTCTGCCCCAGATCAGGAGGTCAGGCATTAGGCAATGAGAAACAGCTTCTGAACAGAGGCGGTGACTTCTAGCTCTTGGGGGATGAGGGGTGGTCAGCCAGAGTTACCACATTCAGGTTCAGCTCCTTCAGAACTTCCTAACCTGCAGGTGGAATCTTTGCCTTCCCACCTTCTGGACCCCGCACGGGGAGGGTCTCGGGCTGCAGCCACGTGGTAGCATTAGGCAGCTGGAATCACAGAATAGGGATTTCAGGGTGGTGTTTCTTCTCTGACAGTGACTAGGTGAGTCACCTTCTACAGGCTGCTTATGGCAGCCTCTTCCTCCATCCTTGAAGCAGGGCCTTCTGAAGACTTCACCTGCTCTGTTATAAAGGGCTTTGAGTTCTGCAAGAGGCAGCCGTGAATGTATTAGCATCCTGCTTTCTGTATGAACATCCTGCTTTCTGGCACACGTCTAGGCCACCGCTTAAACAACCAGCGCCAATTCACAGTGAAAAAAGATCTGCTCAAAGCTGGTTTCAGAAGCAGGACGCGGGAGGCGTATAACATCGAGCCTGTCTCCTGACGGTGCCATCTGTTCTCATTAAGGCAGCCACAGCGCCGAAAGAGGGGCCTCCAGGTGCACACAAGGAAGCCTGCTCGCCTGTTATCCTCTCGCAGACTTTGCCTTTTGTTTTGTTTAGTTTTGTTTTTGTCTGGCAGGCTCAAAAAGACACTGTCCTACTTTCCGCAGAAACAATCACTCTCACATTTTAAGAAATTAAGTCTCTGGGAAAAAAAATTTCATTTGACAGGGCTTGTAATGGCTCCTTGACCACATGCTGTGCTTGCCAATTTATAACAGAGAAATATTACAGAAGTTGGGAACCAAAGTTGGTGTGCACAGTCATTGCTTGAAGAGGGAAGGATGCTTCCTGGGGACAATGATCTTTCCCCGGCCCCCCAGCATTTATTCAATCTGGGGAGAATTTGTCTGCCAGGCTTCCACTCCTACATCCCGGGAAGAGCTGGGCACATTCATCGTCTTGTGTATTCGGAAAGTGATGATAATTCCTCTGAGAGCCAGCCGGGCTCGGAAAAGTGTGATCAAACTTCTGCTGGCAATCAGACCGCCTTTGGGGAGGAAAGTCTCTGTTTTGCAGGTATGTCTTTGCTGCCAGTCTGCTGGGAAGACTACCCAGTCAACAATATGTTACCATGAAAATCTCCTTTCGGAGGTATGTTATATCACATTATAGGGAAAAACAGAGGAAATAACAAAAGCATTTGGCCCCCAATTCAAAAGGCTCTTTCCTTAGATTTTTATAGACTTTGTTTTACAAGATTGGTCTGAGGCCTACAGCATGTCTTCAGGCCTCTTACATACTTGCAATACCCTCCTTCTTTCTTGGGGTTTCCTTCCTGCCTGCCCTCAGCAACCCTTACTGAGCTCCTATTCTGTCTCCCGGCACATGCCTGGGTTGTATATTACGTCCTGTCAGTCAATTTCTACTAAAATGTGAGCTGATGTTAGGGTATTCTTGTGGGAAGATATTTGCATTTTAATAGGTGGCTTTGAATATAGAAAAGTTTCATCCTAAAGTTGCAAAGCCTCACTGGGGAAAAACAGGCAATTTTGGATAGAGTGAGGGATGAGGGGCTAAGAAGGGGGAATGTATTTGGGGTCAGAGACATCCCCAAGAATCTGTGTGTCGCCCGTGGAGCTTGCCTTTCTTTTCTCTCTCTTTTTTCCTTTGTCTCCAGATCTCAGAGTAAATGGCACCTCACACACTCTTGTGGGTCAGAAAATTTTTCATAGGCAGTTGGGAAATAAGACAGCAGTTTTTCCAAGAGTACTGAAATGCAACAAGTCAACTGGTCTGTTGAGTTAAAAAAATTATCAGTTTGGTTGTTCTTGTTCATCTAGCTCAGCTGGTCATTTGGGTAGAAGCAATGGAGGACTGCACTACAGCATAGTGGAAGTGTTGGGTCTCAGCAGCGACCCCTAAACTTTTTGGCACCAGGGACTGGTTTCGTGGAAGACAATTTTTCCTCAGAAGGGGCGGGCGATGGTTTTGGGATGAAACCGTTCCACCTCAGATCATCAGGCATTAGGGTTAGATTCTCATAAGGAGCACGCAACCTACATCTCTCGCATGTGCAATTCACAATAGGGTGAGATTAAATTCTCCTATGAGAATCTAATGCAGCTGCTGATCTGACAGGAGGCGGAGCTCAGGCGGTAATGCCGCTCACTTCCTGCTGTGCGCCGGTTCCTAACCCATACGGGTCTGTGGACCAGGGTTTGGGGACCCCTGATTGACAGCACTAAGTTACTAGTTTCCGTGTTGATGGGATTGGTGGAAATTTTTCAAGCTCTGTGTGATGGAGCAGCACAGGGTAGAAGGAGTATCCCTGGGGAAGGCCTGGCTGCACCTGCCCCCTTGGTAAGGGCGACAGTTGATGCTAATTTATTTTTAAAACACAAAATGAAATTTGGCTTTGAAATTTGAGGAGGAGATACACTAATGTAGCCTCTGAGAAGGAGCTAAAGACCAATAAAAGGTGGTTCTTTCTGTTTCCAAACCCGGAAGCAAATAAGGGCCGCAGCGGGAGCACAGAGCACAGTGACCTTGCTGCAGCGCTGTCAGATTTAACAAGAAGAAATACACGGTGCCCAGGGAAGTTTCAACTTCTGATGAACACTGAAAACTTTTTTAGTATGTCTTATGTGATTTTTGGATCATATTTATAGAAAAAATTATTTATCTGAATTCAAACTGGGTGTCCTATAATTGTATGGCAATCTGGTACCATACTGCCTCTTTGTAATTCCTTGTATACATTCCTAAAGAATAATTTTTTTAAAAAGGTAAACTTATAACTCCTGTATGAATATAAAATGAACATGTGTCAAAGATTTTTTTAGTTCACTGATTAATGAGCGAATCAGTAAAATGTCACAACTGGTTAGAAGAATTCAGAACACACACACACACACACACACACACACCCCAGTCAGGAAATGCTGAACTCAATTTGTTAATAGTTGCAAAACTAGCCATATTCCCAGGGCAATAATCAATTGCATGTCACTGGGCAAAATTTGCGTTTCTATAGACGAGAATCATTTGTATTACTCTCAGTTTTCTACAACTTGCAGTAGTTGTAAAATAGGCCAAAGACAATGAATGCTACAGAATAAACAGGAAGGATTTGTCAGGACGTCCAGGATTCAAGTTTGCCTATTTCAAAGGCTTTCACAATGGAAACACTTGACAGTGTCACGCTCTTTCCTGTCTCTGGGGCTTTGCACTTGATGGTTCCTCCACTTTTTTAGTTGTCTTGTACTTATCCTTGATACTGCGAGAGACCAGAATATGCCATCCCAAAATATGCCTTTTGACATGAGGATTGGTGAGCTGATGGCAAATAAGAAACACATGGAGGAAAGCTCCCTGCCCTTTCCCTATTTGCCTAAAATCAGGACATAAATTTATGAAGACAAAAGACATCCCACTTCTTGTTCCGTGGGCAAACAGAGGTTAACCACCTAAGACAACTTTGGATCCTTACATGCCAGAGAAAGCACCAGAGGAACCTAGACTAACAAGCTTCACTAACTAGCCTTTGTCTGCCAATTATTTGCCTTCCCACAAGTTGCTGCCCCTAAAGACTCAGAATTCTTTTCCTTTGTGTCAGAAATCTAAAAATGTACTGTCACTTGTTGAAGATGCTATATAAATTGGTATTCAAAGCCACCTCTTTGAAAGTTTCTTATTCTCTGGGTTTCTCCCATGTAGGTATGAAATATACATTAATCAAACAAACATCTGTTTGTTTTTCTCTTGTCAACCTTTTTTTTTTTTTTTGTTTATTTGTTACAGCGGCCTGTTCTAAGAACTTATAAGCATTAAGGAAAAAAAATTATCTTCAAACATCATTACCTCTGGAAAGCTCTTCCTGACCCACAAACTAGGTTGGGTTCATGTGCTATAAGCTCTCACAGGACCATGTTTCTTTCATTAGGGCATTTGTGTAGGTTTATAATTCATCCTCTTTACTGAGGTCTCTAAGTCCTTGCATGATCAGACCCCTGCACCCATCAGCCTTTCAATAACTGTGTTCTCCCCTTTCCCTTCCGTTTCTTGACCATAACATGTTCCCTGCCTTAAGGACTTTGCACCTGCTATTCCTTGTGCCTGGAATATTTTTTCTCTTGACTCTTGCAAGGCATGTTTCTTTTCATCTGTAAGGTCTCAGTTTGAATGTCAGAGAAGCCTCTCCTGATGACATTACCTAAAGATGCTCCCTTCTCCACCCTCTCTTTCTATTCTAGTGGTTCCTTAGCCTTAGCACAGATCAGAATCACCTGGCAGGCTTGTTAAAACACAGGTTGCTGGGGCCCATGGCCAGAGTTTTTGATTTACCAGGTTTGGAAGTGGCATGAAGGTCTGTGTTTTAACAAGTTCTCAAGTGATGCTGATGCTGCCGGGATGGGCATCGCTCTTGGAGAAACACGGCTCTGAGTGTTTTCTTTCAACACCTGACATTCTGTTTGTTTTCCCTTTTTGCTGATTTGCTTTCTGTCTCCCATGTAACTGAAAGTTCCACACAAGGAGAGAGAGTGATGCTCCTATTCTCTGATTCATCTACAGTACTACGGACAGTGCCTTACATAAAAGAAGTTTAATGAATATTTGATGAATGAATGAACCATTTTCTAATTTTTTGTTCCGTTTTGTCATAAGGGGTTTGCTTACCAAATTACTGTTGAACTCAGGTGCTTGAACCAAGTTATACAGATTGGCTTTCATCACTAAGATACGTTTGTGGAAGGGAGTTGTCTTAATTTAATAAAGCACACCAATATCTGACCAGTAACTTGAATAAAGACCAGTGCCTACTGTGGCCTGCACTTTTCATTAGCACGCCCTCCAACTTAGGGCCAATGTCATTAACTAACAGTTGGTTAGACGACATCAGGGCTTTAGGTGCTATTGGCAGGTCCCAGGCAGACATGAGTTTTGCCAAGACTTGCAGTTACGATGAGCATTCAGAAGACATAGATGGCAGGTGGAGTGGGGGAAGGGCTTGTGCTTTGGCTTCAAGCGTGCCTCTTGGATGAATCAGCTTGGGTAAAGGAAGAGAGAGAGAGGAGGCAGGGATGATCCTTCCTCCCTGCTAGGTTACAGGCAGTGCTCTCACATCTGTGGTTTTGGCAGGTCCTAACTCCAGGGCCTCCTGATGCCCATATTCTGTTCCAAAGACCCCGGTCCAGGCTCTAGGGCACACCCTCAGGCTCTCCTACCCATTCACCCTCTAGATTCTGTTTTTTTCCCATTTCTACTCTCTTCTGTGCCATTCCTCTAGGCTTTTGCCTTGTGTTGGAAACAGATCCTTGGTGCCACAAAGAAAAATTAGCACTGAGACAAAGGATCTCCCAGCAAGGCAATTTTGACTTCCTGTAGGAAGGGTACCCTTGCCAGCCACCTTGCCACGAGAGTACAACAAATAAAAGAAAAGCAGACCATATTTATCCCTTAGGCATTTGGGGTTATCCTTACTGCTGTGTCTGATCTCAGTTGGTTGGGGCCAGGCCTCACAATCTAAACTAAAACGTGATTGGCTAATAACGTAAAACTTTTCTAAACAGGTAAAACAGTGAAGAAATCCAAACAAGGAAGGGTCATAGGCTGTGAGCTGGGACATGCCTGTGAGCACATTTAGCACAGATATCTTGGTTAAAGTATAAGGATATAGAATGTACTACGTGCCTATAAGCATGTCTAAGAGCTACATAGGATAGGGCTTAACAAAGAATTATTAGCAAAAAGCAAGAAGTCTTTGATGAAAGTCTTTAAAACAAACTATTATTTCTAACACTTATGAAACTTTGAAGAGGACGTTTTCTACTTTCCATGCCTTGCCATGTGACAGGCTTATGTGGTAAACTAATGAGTCCTAATGACAGCCACAGCCACACACACACACACACACACACACACACACACACAAGGCTGGGTGCTGTGGCTCATGCCTGTAATCCCAGCACTTTGTGAGGCCAAAATCGGTGGATTGCTTGAGCTCAGGAGTTTGACACCAGCCAAGGCAACATGGTAAAACCCCATCTCTTCAAAAAAGTACAAAAATTAGCCAGGCATGTCAGTGCTCACCTACAGTCCCAGCTACTCAGGGGTCTGAGGCAAGTGGATTGCTTGAGTCCAGGAGGTCGAGGCTGTAGTGAGCCATGTTCGTGGCCCTGCACTCCAGCCTGGGTGACAAAGTGAGACCCTGTCTCAAAAAAAAATCTATATATCCATATATATATATATATATATATATATCTCCTTGTTGTGTATGTGTGTGTGTGTGTGTGTGTGTGTGTGTGTGTATGTTTAGTTAGAGACAATATGGCATAGTGCCTAAAAGCACATACTCTGAAGCCAATCCTAGGTTTGAATCCTTTTTTCTGCTAAATACTGTGTAGTCCTTGAGAAAGTTACTTACCCATTCTGTTCTTCACATTATGGGGTTAACAACAGCACTAAATCACAGGGTTGTTGTAGCTACAAAAGAGATACTAACTGTGAAGAGTTTAGTTCCTGGTGCCTTGTAGCTACAAGGATAACAGTCCTAATAGCCCCTATGGAAACAGCTTTCCACTTTAACAAGGGATTTTGGTAGACATGCGCTGAGTACAACACTCTTGGCAGATCAGATATTTAGGGACATTCAGATGACAGTATGTGAGCAGATGCCTATTCTGTCTGGGTGTTAGGGGACAGAGCACTAGGTGTCTTGGCCACTGTCTCTAGTCTTAAAAAAGCAAGTTCTGCTCAGAACCTGGCAACGGAGGATAAGACAATAATAGCAATGTTGTATTCAGGAGCGTTGCTTTAAATAATCCTCCTCCCTAATTGCTTTGCCCCTGGCGTGTGACAGGTGTTTACATTATTAAGTAAAAGCATTTAAACAGCGACCTCCTTGGTATAAGGGTGAAGGAGATTAAAATCCAAGCAGTGCTCCAGCTATTTAAATCAATGAGACTTGTCAGACCTGTAATACATGAGCTACTTAGAGGGCGCAGGCACCTATTGTTTTTGAGCTTTGTCTAATATCTCAATATGCTCCTTCCCTCAAAGTCTGGCCAGGCCCTGGGATGCTCATTAAAGGCTGGTCTGACCACGGCCTCTTTCCCTGTGGAAGCAGCATTAATTAATAGTTGGCTAGATGTGTGCCAAATAGTTATGCTATTAGGGAGGATCAGAGCTTGAGTTGATTCCTGCTTAGAGAAATGATCTTTCACAGAATTCCAGCGGTTAAGTTCCTTAGCTAACCAGAAGCAGGGACCATAAATATTGCCCCCCTCTTCCACTAGGGGGCGCTAAACCAGGATGCTTGGCTTTGCCCACAGCCATCCGTTCTTAAGTTGCCTTTTCCCAGTCTTTAGTTATGACATTGACAACTTCAGGTCCACCAGCAGTATTGAGGAACCAAGTTTCTGAAACTTAAGTCTCTCTCTTTTTTAAAGCTTCGTGCTCTCATCACGAACAAGAAATTTCTCTCTTAATAAGCAAACTTAGATTCCCTTCCTTTTTTGGAAGGGAAGTCTCCATGTAAGAAGAGCAGCTGGACCACGAAGATGGAAAATGTGGCACATATACACCATGGAGTACTATGCAGCCATAAAAAGGATGAGTTCATGTCCTTTGTAGGGACATGGATGAATCTGGAAACTATCATTCTCAGCAAACTGACACAAGAACAGAAAACTGAACACTGCATGTTCTCACTCATAGGCAGATGTTGGACAATGAGAACACATGGACACAGGGAGGGGAACGTCACACACTGGGGTCTGCTGGGGGGCTAGGGCAGGGACAGTAGGGGGTGGGGAGGTTGGGAAGGGATAACATTGGGAGAAATGCCTGATGTAGGTGACGAGGGGATGGATGCAGCAAACCACCATGGCATGTGTGTGTGTGCCTATGCAACAATCCTACAAGATCTGCACATGTACCCAAGAACTCAAAGTACAATTAAAAAAAAAAGATTCAACTCTTATTCCTCAAGATTAATCTTACCCTTGGAATCTCTAGCTAATTTCTGCAGGTCCCAGAAAGCTGGCTTCAGAGGGTGCTGATTCATTATGAATTCTCCAGTTCTAAGCTGGGGGACACTTGAACCTTCTTTTAATTCCTTAGATTCACAGCTGAGCCAGGCTGGCCACAAAAGGAACTACATGCAGGTAGGGTTACAAGGCAAAGTTTACTTTTCTTCAGTTTATGGCCCTATATGTTGGCCTGTCTGACTCGTGGAATGTTGCCAGGTGGTGGGTTCCTGATGCCAAGAGACTGCTTAAGCCTCATCTGTGGAAGTGCTGGTTCAGCAGCAGGTGAGGCACTTTCTTTCTGGGTGGTCTCAAGGTCTCTTTTGCTGGTGATTGACTTTGAGAAGTTCTTCCTGTCACAGGAAAGCCCTACTTCTACACATAGCAGTGGGGTGAGGCCACAGCCTCTAGTCTCTACAGGACTTCTTTGTCAAAATGCAACATCAAAAGGTTCACAAGGAAAAGAGATCCATGTAAATAATTCCTGGCTGCTCACAGTGTCAGGACTGGCCGCACAGGTATCACCTGGGAGCCTATTAGAAATGCAGAATCTCAGGCACCCAGTCCTGCTGAAACAGAATCTACATTTCAACCAGCTGCCCAGATAGTTTGTGTGCATGCTGCAGCTTGGGGAATAGTGATGGAGCAGAGAGACAGCCTTTTGTAGACACTGTCTCTCTCTATCACAAGAAGAAACTGCATTACGGGTGGTTCAGGGAAAAGTCCTGTGATCTCCCTGTCCTTTGGAGTTGAGGAGTTAACCTCGGCTCTGTGGGGTTTTTGTGGAGGATGGAAGCATTGTTGGAGATGCTTGAATTTCTGAAAATGTTTGAAGGGAGAAGGAATGTAACAAACCCTCTCCTCAGAGCAAAGCGATGAGACCGCATCGGGGGTTGGAGACCACTGCACAAGTCACTTTGCTTACTTCTGTAAATGTGGTCAGTACCTCTACCGTCCTCCCACAGCAGTGTGCAGGCCTCTAGGAGGCCTGGAGCAAGATCAGCACCCAGGCAGAGGCCTCTTAGAAGAAAAAAACCCTATCAAACTGCAGGGGACTCTCAGACAATGCAACATTCATTCAGGCCAAGCAATTCTGTCAAAAGTTCATTCAATGAAAATAGTACCAAGTGGGTACTTGACTGCTGTGTCAGTTTAGTCTCCACAGCAACTCTGTAGCCACAGGTAAATACAGTCTCAGGCGTGGAAGGAAATCAGGTATTTATTCACAGAGGCGGTAGATATCCTTCTGTGACCCAAGGCAAGTTACTTACCTTCCCCATCCAGTAGCTTCTCCATTTTAGAATGGGTTATCGGAAGGTACTGTTCTTCTGGGTGTGTTGTAAATACTAAGCTTAATATTCACTCTCATCTGAAGGATCTAGAAGAAGAAAAGAATATTCATTCTAGCCGGGGCACAGTAGCTCACGCCTGTAATCCCAGCACTTTGGGAGGCCCAAAGGCAAGGGGATTGCTTGAACCCAGGAGTTTGAGACCAGCCTAGGCAACATAGTGAGTCCCCGTCCCTGCAGAAAAGAAAAACAAAATTAGCTGAGTGTGGCGGTGCATGGCTGTAGTTCCAGCTACTTAGGAGGATGAAGTGGGAGGATCACTTGAGCCCAGGAGGTCAAGGCTGCAGTGAGCCATGATGGTGCCATTACACTCCAGCCTGGGTGACAGAGCAAGGCTCTGTTTCAAAAAAACACCAAAACAGCACTCTGTAATGCTATTACTCACACTTAAAGTCTTCTCTATATTCTCTGTAGTAGATAAGAATGATATTTCAGGAGTGTAAGGAATCTTGATGTCACCTTGTCACCTTATGGAGAGGGGATGAGAAAGAAGATGAAAAAGGCTTGTTTTCATTTTGCCAGAGTCATGGATTCCAATTCCAGGTCTGTTCTTGTGTCACCATACTCCCAAACAACTGCAACTTCCAGAGCCCAGGAGGAATTCTGGATGAAATATCAGCCAGGAGAAGGACGGTGACTGCTGTAGGTCACTGGGGCCATAAAGTTAGTTAATGGGGAAGACAGACGAATGAGTGTATTGTGGCAACATAGCAGAAGGTCTGAGGCATAAATAGTGTTGGAAAATAATAAGACGGTTGGTTTTTGAGGATCAACATTGCAGGAGAATTGCGCAGCAAAAGACCAAGTTGGGTTTTTGAAATGTGGCGGGGGGGGGGGGGGGAGGGGGGGGGGGGGGTGCGGGTGTCAGGATGCACACTCACTCTGCCCCCTCCTCTTTAAAGCCACCCTCCACATCCCGCGACCTGGTGGGATGCCAGTGTGCATGAGATCCCATCACAGAGAGGATTTTCAAGAGTCACTAACAAGCTTGTAAAGAACAGGTACTTTCTAAGGAATGTTCACTCTTGCAGCTGCATTCCTGGGGCTTAAATAGCACACTGTTATCCACTGACAAATGATTTCGGGTAGGGAGATCTTGTGAACTTGTACAAATGGCAGACACATTTGAATTTTTTTTTTTTTTTTAAATTATGAAAGCTAACTGCTGAAAGCAAATGTGAATAAAAATTTACCTACCTCTGTTTTATCTCTGGGTGAAGATAAAAATACGGGGTGTTTTAATTTGGCAGTGATCTGGGCACCTTCCCCTGGCCTGTTTTCCTTTTGCGAAGAGCTCCCACTTTCGGGACTGCCTTTCCTTTGATCTTATATTCTCTCTGTGTTCAGGTACCCCTTAGTGCCTACCTGAATCGCGTGTAACAAATCATCTTAATTACTTCAGGCCTCGCTTCCTCCTCCAGTTCTCATTTTCTGAAATTCCTGCGATGGTTACCAAATAAATCAGTGTGGGGCTCCAGCCCTTGGAAACAGCACGGAGGCACCAGCAGCCAGAGGAATTTCAAAGTTAGTTAAAAGGCACAGGAGGAGTGAGGGAATTGAATGAGAACCCCCCCCCCCCACCCCGTTTTTCAGCCTGGAGAGTAAATGCTGACTGTACTCCAATTCCATGTGCTTTGCAGGGCGCAGCCCTCACACCTTTCCCCGCAGATGAGAGAATAATTAATGCCATGACTCCTTGGCGTGGTAGCCAGAGCCCTGCTGTCATCAGCAGAGCCCAAAACGCGGTAGGAACACGCACCGTATTTCAAAGCCCAGGCAGGCAGAGAAGGGGGAAGGAACTGGTGACGTGCTTTGCCCTGTGGGAGCTCCCCGGCGCTGCCCGTAGGAGGCCCAAGCGAGGCGGAGAGAGGGTCGTGGGGAAGCGGGCCGCTCCCGGGACTCGTCACCGGGTTGGATCTGGCCCCTTTGAGTGGCTCCAGTTCCAGGAAGGCCGGCTGGCGTGGGGCTGTCTTTTTTTTTTTTTTTTGGGACTGAATTTCGTTCCGTTGCCAGGCTGGAGCGGGCGCGATCTCGGCTTGCTGCAACCTCCGTCTCCCCGGTTCAAGCGATTCTCCTGCCTCAGTCTCCCGAGTAGCTGGAACTACAGGCGCGTGCCACCACGCCCGGCTAAGTTTTCGTATTTTAGTAGAGACGGGTTTCACCGTGTTAGCCAGGATGGTCTCGATCTCCTGACCTCGTGATCCGCCCGCCTCGGCCTCCCAAAGTGCTGGGATTGCAGGCGTGAGCCACCGCGCCCGGCCCGTTTGGAAGACGCTCCTCGGGCGGAGGGTCGCGGGGGCGGGCCGGGCTGTGATCCTGCACGCGGGCGGCCGAGGGGAGGCCAGGAGGGACCCGAAGCTGACACTGCGGAAAGAAAACGCCAGCCGCGCAGCCGCATCAGCACCGGCCTGACAGGGGCGTCCCCTCCTAGGGGGAGCTCCGAAACACCCATTCCGGAGGCCTTTGCCCGGGCCGGTCATGCCCGGGCGAGTGAGCTGCCGGGACGTGCGCGGCTCCGTCTGGCGGGGAGGCCGATTGCCCGGACGTCCCCGGCTGCTCTGCGCGCCGTGACGCTGAGAGGTCCCGTGAGAAGCTCCTTGGGCGGGATCGGTCCACCGGACGGCGCGGCATGGGAGAGGTTTCGGCCTCTGCCAAGGGAAGGTGCTGTGAGCGCACCGCCGTGAGCATCACGCAGCACATCCTACAGCCCCTCAGCTGCTGCGAGGGCCTGCTGGGTCCCATTGACATTTCAAAATCAAAATTTTCACCATCCTCGTTGGGTGATGGTTTGTAGAATGTTTTTGAGGAAGTCTTGTTTGAAATGGACAGACTCAGTCATCTGATACACTCTTGGAGAACATGGGGATAAAATAGGTTGGTTCTAACGAGAAGGTGTCACTCCTCCACCCCTCTCCCAAGAGGGCTTCCAGGGACACCTAAGTGACCGGGTTGTGGGTTCTCCTGTGATAGTTCTCTGTTCTTTACTTGGTTCTAGTCAGAAAACATGGTCTGTGTTAGGCGCCCTAGGGGACAAAGGGAATTAGACCCGGGCCTGACTCCAGGCTGCCCCTCTTCTCTGCTATTCCTCCTATTGCAGGTTACAGGTGTCTGGGTCAGAATCTTAGGAAGCGGGGTCTGCCTATCAGAATTAGAAAACAAAACAAAACAAAACAAAACAAAACAAAACAACTCCCCAGGTGTTTCTAGCATATAGCTGTTTTTTGTTGGGAATTGCTACATTAAATTACCTCAAAGATTCTTGTCATTTCAGATATTTTCTGGTTTCCTAATTGTTTTTCTAAAATTTTAATTTTTTTATTTTTAATTTCTTTGTAGGGGGAGGCCTCCCTATGCTGCCCAGGCTAGTCTCGAACTCCTGGGCTCAAGCGATCCTCCCACCTCAGCCTCCCAAAGTGTTGGGATTATAGGCCTGAGCCACTGTTCCTAGCTTCCCCTAATTCTTGAGCTCTTCTAGGTCCACTAGATTCTCTTTCACCAGTATGAGGTAGGATCATTTTAGTTAGGATCAAATTATTATCTTCAATCCCAAGTGACACTGTTCTTTTGTGACCACTAAACCCCCAAAAGATTTTTTTTTTGGCCGGGCGCGGTGGCTCACGCTTGTAATCCCAGCACTTTG